GTTTTTCTCCTTGCCCTTTGTTTTAAACTAAAATTTAAAGACTTGTGGGAAAAATGTAAAAATAATTAAGTGTAAACGTTTAAGAGACACAAATGCATGTACAGTAGAATTTAAAGGAAAAACTATGTTAAAAACAGTAAAATTTAAATTACGTGTTAAGATATACTGTATAGACTAATTTATACTAACCTGGAAAAATAAATATTCAAGTCATTTCAAACAAAAAACACGAGATAAAGTTCTCCTTTGTTATTTTAATTGGTACATTTTAAATGTATTTATTTAGTGGTTCACTTATATAATTCTGCTTTTATTTCTAAATATGTCAGTTTCGGTCCTCCTTACTGCAAGAAGCCTGATAATCATCTATTCATTCATATCAGGTGAGTTGGAGCAGAGAGGCAAGTAAAACATGCAGGGCTGCGGCCCTCGAGGACCAGGATTGCCCACCCGTCTTAGTCTGTAAACTTTAATCTGCTCGACAGACAAAACTTTTTGTGTTTAATCTCAGAGTTGTGTCGGTGCTTAATGACGACTCTAAATGCTTTAGAAATGGTGGTTGAATCCAACCCCCCGAACAAACTACCCCACCGCCCCCCCGCTTCTCCCTGACCTCACAGAGAGGCTAAATGCTGCGTCCAGCTGCTCGAGCCCTGCGTGCTGTTAGTACCACACAGGCAGAGCGGCGGGGGGCCGCTTCAAACAGCCAGCATGGGTCTGAGGGGAGGAGGAGGCCGGGACTCAAAGGGAGGAGTGGGGTGAAGGAGGTATCTGTTGGGACAAGGGGAGCTCCTCAGGAGCCTGTGGACACACACGGCACTAATCCTCTGCAGCTGGACAGGAGAAACCGATTCGGGGCTCGTAAGAGAGCTTCAACACGGCGGCCACTTCATTCACATGAAGGGATGAACACGGATTCCTTTCTCGACAATGAGGGGACACAAAACGATGACCGTCCCGTGGCGTTTAGGGTGGGGCGTTCAATAAAAAGGGTCTGTTAATTAGTGGGGAAACACGGCAGCATCAAAGGGGACAAAAACCATCAGTAAAATCCAACTAGCTTTAGCTTCTCAAATCAAGATTTTAATGTAAAATTAGCAGAAAACAAAATGTTTGCTAAAATGCGTTGAAGCTGAAACTAAACGATTAAAACAAGTTCAGCACGCGTGCAAACAAACTCACTTCGCTCCGTCCTCGTCGTCAAAAGAGTGCAGATCCAACACCTCAGAGAGCTCCACCCTGTCGAAGAGAAGCACTTTGTTTTAGCTCAATTTAAAAAATGAAACTTTTAACAAGTTATTTCAGCTTTAAGCTCAAACTAACATTAAAGGGTWACCTGGTGAACTGACTTCACACTAAATGTTTTGGCAATGTGAATTCAATTAAACCCTTTCATCTGCTCACCCCGCTCTGAACCCTGCAGAGTCCAAACACTCCGCTTTGTGCGAGTCATGTTTGGACTCACACACATTTACACAAGTACACCCCCCCCCCCACACACACACACACACACACACACACACAACGTTCCCCCCGTCAGGCTGAGGTCAGAGAGCATTGCCTCCTGAGTAACTGGACACCGACGTATGCTGGGGTGTTTACTCTGTGCGTTGTCGTTTTGTGTTGGTGTGCGTGTGTGTTTGAACCGCTCCATCTTTGATGCAAAGATCTGAGCAGGAGCTGCGCCGAGCTCAGCAGGAAACCTGGGCCACAGAGACCCTGCGCAACCTGAGTTTTCCTTATTTGTTTGGCCAGGAGAGACTCACCTCGATCTCTGGGTTTCTACTATCTTGACGAGACCATTTATAGACCTAAAGTGAGGGGGGAAACAAAAAAATCTGATTACATTTAACTTAATTATTCTTTAAAAAGATGGAGGATGGGTGGGGATAATGCTGACCTGACAGTGTCTCTGACTCGGTTCAGTTCCTCCTCATTTACAAGGTCCGTTTTGTTGATGATGGTCAGGTCTGCGAGAGCAATCTGCCTGAAAGGATGAAAAATATATATATATATATTTTAAAAGTCGCCTAAAATTAGATTAAATTGACCGTTTCAAACGACTAAAACACAAATTATGCTTCTGGGTGTACAGGAGTTAAAACGAGGAGCTGTGTTTAGTTTAGAGGTGAAAAGACAAACCGAGTCAAAGAATGCAAAAGGTCACACCAGTTTTTCTCTTTTCCATCAGTGTATTTGTTCAGCAGCAACACATTTGCTGGAAAACCCAAACTGAGACACAGACGGACAAATGGCAAAGGTTTCTGTTGGTTTTTGTAACCCCTGATGTCAAAAACATTATGAGAGTTTATTTTTTTTGCTTAATTCATCAAAATGTGTCATACCTGGCTGCTTCATTGATACGTCCATCTGCTTTCTCTTCTTTCACTTGCTATAGAAAAGCAAAGGTTATGATAAATTACTAATTCAAACTTGAAATAAAAACAAAATTATGAATATTTAAAAATCTACCCATCTTTAAAAAAAAAAGAG